GATGAGTGTAACATCAGAATGAGCTTATATCTTTAAAAATGTCAATAATTAAGAAATGACCTTGTATTTTGATAACTATTGACATTTTTAAAGATATAAGCTCATCCCGATGTTACACTCATCAAGACCTTTCATTTGAGTACCGACATCAATTTTTCATATATTTGATATATTTATATATTTTACAAATACAATATATATAAAATATATGAAAAATGCCATGTGGGTACTCAAATGAAAGCTCTTGATGAGTGTAACATCGGGATGAGCTTATATCTTCAAAAATGTCAATTTTTAAGTAAGTATAATGCAATTTACCAAAATTCATTATTTAGTAAAGCAGAATTTTATTTATTTATAGTTCACAAGTTACAGCAGTCACGCAGTACTTAATTATTTTTTTTTATAAATTACCTAGAATTATCATAAATAACAATTATTATTATTATTATAATAATACACTTGGAATTTTTTTGTTATAAAATTTATCAGTGTTATTTATTATTTGTGATGATTAGGATGGCATGATGCAACTGTACGAACTAGGAGATTGGATAAGATCAGAATACGACCTGATAATTGGTGCTAAATATGACTCTTCATCAGCTTTCATCCGCAGCAGCTACGCAGACCGCTGTATAATGTCCGCTCAAGCTCTCCTGGCAGCTTTGTACCGTCCCGAACCAGGGGACAATTTTATTGAAGACTTGCCATGGAGACCAGTGCCTGTACATTCCATTCCTAGGGATTTTGATAAGGTATAATCTTTTATTTTACTTTAAATTTGCGTTTTTTTCAAATAAAGATTTGTTTCAGTTAATTACTGTGAAGTATCGGTGCCCGAAATTAGAGTACGCATTAAAAGAAGCCTATGTTAATGAATCTATTAAAACCGGCAAGCAAATGGCTTCTTATTTTAATGAATTGTCTTATTATACTGGAAAAAAAATATCTACTATTACTGATGTTGAGTTTTTGTACAATACTCTTGAAATTGAGGTTAGAAATTTTTTTTTGGTTATGAATTTTATCTTGAGAGACATTTAATTATTTTTTATAAATTTTAGCAATTAAAAAATTAGAAAAAAAAATTTTTTAATAAATAAATAAGTGGAATTTTTAAGAATTTATTTTTTAAATAAAAAAAATTCTCAGTTGACTTAATTTTAAAAAAATAATTAATTGTCTCTTAATTTTATTATTTAAAACTTATAAAAATAAATATTTAAAATTATTTAAAAGGCAAATCATGGGCTAGAATTGCCAGAATGGACAAAAAAATTCTACAATGAAGAAATGAGAAGAATAGCAGCACGTTCATTGGCTCTCTTCACGAGTAATACCTTACAACAGCGCCTCCGTGGTGGTAATTATTAACTACAATTATTTCATTAATTTAAAAATTGATAAGTAATTTATTACAGGACCATTATTGAAAGAAATAACCAACAACATGATGTCTGCGCGAAACGGCCATGATAAGATAAAATTATATTTGTACTCAGCACATGATATCACCCTGGTTAACGTTTTACGCGCTATGGGATTTACTAATGAATTATTCAAGCCAGATTATGGCGCGGCGTTAATTTTTGAGCTTGTTCTCTCAGAGTATGTCGAAGAAAATAATCTCGAGCTCAATGTCAAAGTAATTATATTTTTTTTTGTTTATCTTTGTCTTTAATATCATAAATATTTATCATCTATTTTATTTTTAGGTTAAATATTTGAACAACACTGAAATTTATGAACCGACGACGTTAGAGATACCTCACTGCAAAGAGCCGTGTAAATTAGTGGATTTATTACGGGTTTGGAAAGATGTTTTGCCCGTCGATTGGGATTCCGAGTGTGTTAATTAATTAATTAATTAATAATTAATATTTTATGAAACTGAAGTTAGTCGACTGTCATTTTTTGGGCTTTTGCAATTTTAAAAAAATATTTTTTTGTACTAATTTAATTTAAGAATTTTATAACAAAAAAATTATAAAAAAAAATTTATACGTCAAAATTTGAAAAAGTAAAAAATGTAATTTTTTTTAAATAATTTTTTGAGTCAAATTTTTTTGTTAAAAAAAATTAAAAAATGGTCAAATGACTGCTAACTTTAATGTCATTAATTATTTATTGATTAATTAATTAATTAATTAATTAAATATGACAATGAAGTTAGCTGACATTTCAAAATTTTTAGAAATTTTTTTATCCAAAAAATTTCAATTAAACAATTAAAAAAAAAAA